GATCTGACCTGGCCTGGTGAGGTGTAATCACGCCTGTAATCCTAGCACTCTGGGAGGCTGAGATGGGTAGATTGTTTGAGCTCACGAGTTTGAGACCAGCCTGAGCAAAAGTGAGACCCTGTCTCTACTAAAAATAGAAAAACTGAGGCAAGAGGGTCACTTGAGCCTGAATTAGAGGTTGTTGTGAGCTATGATGCCATGGCACTCTACCCAGGGTGACAGCCTGAGACTGTCTCAAAAGCAAACAGATGAACTCAGTGACCTATTTGGAATATTTAATGGGAATAAAAATAACCATGCAAAATGTACTACAAGGCAGCTTGTAAGTGCTACAGACAAAGTACAAACAGAAAGCATGGGATTTTAGAGGAGTCTAGTAGGAGCCGCAATACAAGAGAAGCTGTCAAGGATTTCAACAGGTTTAGGTTTGGTAGAAGGGATGAGAGGCATTTGTTGCAGGCTGATAGTTTGAGTTGGCTCCTTTGTAAAAAGATGTTAGGATTACAGTAAGAGGTTCCCTATATTTTCAGGGTATCCTGAAAGGTAAGTCTGGGAGAGTAGGATAGATATACATAGCAGGACAACTGGCAGATTGAGTAGCTTGTATTAATTTGATGTGGAACTAGTGATCTTTGTTTTCCTTTTTTTCTTTTATTTTTTTGAGGCAGAGCCTCTCTCTGTTGCCCTGTGGTTGAGTGCCATAGTATCATAGCTAACAGCAACCTCAAACTCTTGGGCTCAAGCTATCCTCTTGCCTCAACCACCCAACTACCTTGGACTACAGGTGTCTGCCATCATGCCCAGGTAGTTTTTCTATTTTTAGTAGAGACAGGATCTCACTCTTGCTCAGGCTGGTCTCTCTTGAATATCTAAGCTCAGGTGACCAACTTGCCTCAGCCTCCCAGAGTGTTAGGATTATAGGCAAGAGCCACCTTGCCCAGCCTAATGATCATTTTTAAAACAGGGCGGAGTCATGATTTGGCCACTGCTTTAAGGAGATACTCTGGCAAGAACACAAGATGGATTGTGGGTGGAGAACACAGGGGTGGGGAACCTGCAGCCTTGGGGCCACATGTGGCCGTCTGGATCCTTGAGTGCAGCCTCTTAACTGAATCCTTTTAATAAAGGATTTGGTCAAGGGACCACATGGAGCCCAAAGGCTCAGGGTTCCCCACTCATGGATGGAAGAGCCATTGTGTAGAAAGTACAATATCTATTCCTGTGTGGTCCAGTATAGTAGCCATGTGCAGCTATTTAAATACAAATTTAATTAAAATTCATTAAGATTTAAAAATTCAGTTCTTCAATTACATTAGCCACATTACAAGGGTTCAATAGCCACATGTGATTAGTGTCTAGCACTATGCAGATAAAGACCACGTCCATCATGGTGGGATTAGCGTAGCTTGCTACATTTTGTGCCTAACTGGGCAGCTTAGTGACGGAGAAAGGCAGTGACGTGCGCAGAAAAGGGGAAGCCAGGAGGAGGAAGAGCTGGGTTTAGGAGGAAAGGTATCAGATTAGTTTCTGTCAAACACCAGGTGAGGTAAAGTGTCTACACAAATGCTTGGGTGTCCATGGTGAAAGGAAAGGGTCGGAAAACCAAAGCACCCACTGGGATCTCCCAAAACTGGTAACAGAGCCCCAGCAAGAACTAGCTGGCTTATCCCCTCCTGCACTCAGTTTCTCTCCAGTTTTTGCAACTCTCTGAATCGAGTGGGCAATTCAACTCCTCGACCACTCCAGACCAATGGCTCACATACACTGTGCCAAGGCCTGCCTGAGGGCTTTGCTGTTTCTGTTGCTCCTTGCTGCCAGCCTAAACTCTTTTATCTCACAGATATTTTATACTTCCTCTCCCAGAACCACCTCACTCTCCCTTCCCCAAGCCTGATCCTTGGAAAGTCCCATGGCCTTCACTTACTTAATTGCTTCCTCTCCAACTATTCCTAACCTCAGGGACCACCCAAACCATCAACTCACCACATTTTTACTTGACTTGTCCCCTCGCAGCTTAGATTCCAGTGTCTATCACTATAATTACCCCCTATTCCTCTTATTGACTTTTATCAGCAAAACCCAGCCCCAATTGAATACAATTCTCCTTCAATCCCCAGGCACTGAAGTGTAGCTGGGGGAAACTCACAACCTTACTGAGTGGGCTGGACTCCAGACAGCTCTCAGTGCTGTCCACACTACACTTCTCTAGTCACTTTTCCACTCTTTGAGACATTATTTCTTACCTTCTTCTATCTCCTTAAGAAGCCAATAGCCCTTGCCCACTCACAGATTTTTAATTGCCCAGAGGAAAGCATACAAACCAGATCTTACCTCACCAATCCCAGTGAGTACTCAGTGCAGATTGGGAAAAGGTGCATAGATACAGTGTGTGTTGTATGTCAGACTGCTAAAAGGCACCTCCTCTACAAGTGGATCAATTAGAAATGTGCCCCTTTCTCTAGGCTGATGTGGCCCTACCAGAGCACACAACTTGGTGGGCAAAACAAGGGCTGGATTTCGGCCCCCCAGCATCCCCCTCTGCTTTGCAGGGTCCTGAGCACACCAACATCGAAGAGTGTGTGGGTGTGTCTGTACCCACAACCTGGCCTTCTCTCCCAAAACAGTATGTGAACACACTGTCCTTGCTCCTATTCAAGGTCAACCCCTTCACTTCTGTGCTAGGTCCCATTGGTTCTTATTTACTTGGCAACAATCTTTCTACTGTTTTCTCCTCCCATCTCCTGCATCATCAACTTCACCTTTCTAAAGGATCATTCCAACATACCAAAATGAGGAAGCATTTCCTATCTCAAAATGCCCTCCCTTCAGTACCAAGTACCCCTCTGGCTATTGTCCATTTCTCAGTTGCTTTTTAAAGCAAAGCTTCCTTTTTTTTTTTTTTTTTTTAGACAGAGTTCCATTATGTCGCCCTTGGTAGAGTGCTCTGACATTATAGCTCACAACATCCTCAAACTCTTGGGCTTAAGCCATCCTCTTGCCTCAGCCTCCCAAGTAGCTGGGACTACAGGGGCCTGCCACAATACCCAGCTATTTTTTTGGTTGTAGTTGTCATTGTTGTTTGGCAGGTTCAGGCTGGATTCTAACCCGCCAACTCAGGTTTATGTGGCTGGCGCCCTAGCTGCTTGAGCCATAGGCGCGCAGCCTAAAACAAAGCTTCTTAAGAGCTGTTTGGACCTGGCGTAAATCCTTTCTGTTCCTCACCTCCTATTCGATTAACACATCCTAATCAGACTTTCTCCCTCATGACTCCACTGAAACTTTTCATCAAGGTCATCAGCAACTTTCATCAGGCAAAATCCAGTGTTCAAATTACCAGTCCTCTTCTTATTTCAACAGTATCTGATAAGACTGATCACCCCCACCTTCCCGAAGCAGTTATCTATCAACACTCCACCCTCTCTTGATGTTCTTCCTATCTGACTGGTACCTCCTTTTCTCTGTAATCTCCCAGGGTGGTCCTCTCCTCCAGCTACTCCCACTCCCTAAGTGATCCTAAGTAAACCTAAGGCTTAAAAAGCATCCATATGCTGATGAATGCCAAATTTATATCTCTACCAGGGGTATCCAACCTTTCTTTTCTCTGCCACACATTAAATACACAAACACTAACCAAAGCTCATTAGCAAAAATAAAAAAATAAAAATGTCCCTGCATACTTTTCATGATATCTGACACCACAGATAAGCAAAAAAAGTCCTCAGAAAATCAGTATGTGGCTGGCCTGGAGGGTTGTAGGTTGGACACTCCTAGACTCTGGCCTCATATGTCCAATAGTTTATTTCACATCTCCACTTGGATGTATAACAAGCACCTTAAACATGACACATGCAATACAGAATTCTTTTACCCCTACCACAAACCTACTCCTCTTTGAGTCTTCTCCATCTCATTAAATGACACCATTTTAACCTAGTCTTCAGGCTCTGAACCTAAGAATCATCCATGATCTTTTTATATTTTACACACTGTCCCCCAAATCAAATTGCATTCTAACTAAAATGTGTCTTGATAAAATAAAATAGCCCTCTTCTCAGCTGTGTGCAGCTGCCATGCTAGTTAGTCCAAGCTACCACAAACAGCCTCCTTATGGTCCTCCTCCCAACATTTGTGCCTTCCTACTATTTTACAAACATTAATAAGAGTAATTTTTAATAATGTGTATGTCTGATGCAGTCACTCTTTCTCCCTTGGCTTCCTGTTGCGCTTGTAATGGCCTATAGGCTCCGCAGGATCTGGCTACTTGTCCACCTGTCTAACTACATGGCCCTCTGGCTGACTGACTCGACTCAGCCATCAATAAGGCAAGTGCACCCTGACACCTCTGGGTTTAGGGCCGATTTTCTCTCAGACCGGAAATGCTGTTTCTACCTACCCCATCCCACCCCGTGTTTGCTTAGGCTCTTTCCTACATATCATGTATGTACGTACTCAAAGGTCTTCTTTGAAAGACATCTGACCAGCTGTAACGTCATCCTATCTCCTGCTTTATTTTTCTGCACTCCACGTATAATTATCTAAAACTTTTGTCACTTGTTCGTCGTCTGTCTCCCCTCTCCCACGCGACTAGAATGCAAATTCCACAAGGGCCTTTGAGTGTTTCTGTGACTTTATACCCTTTGCCTTGAACAGTGCCCAGTACCTAAAAGGTGCTCAGTTAGTACTTGTGGAATGGTTGCGTTCTCTCCAAATTCTATTACTCCTTAATCTCTGGACCATTCCTCATTTCATTTCGGGCCTTACCCATCCGAACCCTTCGCCCCCATTCCGCTCTCTGCAAAGCCGAAACTCCCCACCCCTTCCCCAGCTCTCCCCGCTCTTTCCTTCCTGCGCGGCTCCTTTAAGTGGATTCCCGAACTGCGCAGGGAAGGCGGGGCTGAAGGTTCCTGGACGCCGACTCAGCGGGGCGGGACGGAACGAAGGGGGCGGGGCCTACGTGCTGCGTGCGTGCGCGTTCTGGAGGCGCCGCCACCGTCGCCGCCGTTCCCGAAGCTGTCGTTGCTGCCGTCGCCGCGTAGAGCCGGAGCAGGAGCCACGGCCGAGAGGAGGGAGGAGGAGGAGGAGGAGGTGGAGGAGGCGCCGGACCCGGGCGGGGGGGTGAGTGAGGGGCGGGGAGCCCCAGCTGGCCCCGGAGGGAGCGGGGGGCGCGGGTCGGCCGAGCCCGGGCTGAGGCGGCTCCTGTCGCCGGTCAGTCCCCTGGCTCCCCCTTCCTCCTCTGCGTTCTCTCGGTGTCCGGGGCGGCGGCCCGGGGGCCTGGCCGGCGGGAGGGGCAGGGACACAGGGAGGCCCGGCCGCTTCCAGGGCCAGAGCCAACCACGCCCGCGGACCCAGCCGGGTTGACTGTGGCTGGGCCTTCGGGAGACGGTCGGGAGGGGCCGGGGCCGGCTGTGGCAGAGAAAGAGGACATTGTGTCCCCCACCCTCCAACTCCCCGAGGTGTCACAGCACAAGCCCATTTCCTTCGCCGTCTCCCCGGACACGGCCCTCGCCCCTCACTCCCTGAGAGGGACATCGCTGCCTTTCTCCTTTTGCATGTCCTCAGTCTGGGGTCAGAGCTTCCTTCCAACCCCACTATCCCTTTGGGGGTACACGAGGAGGGAATTGTTGGGTCGGGTGAATTTCCTGTTCTCTGTTCCCTGCTAGAGAGGTACGGGTAGACTGGAGCGTTTCCCTCTGCGTGTTCAGCTCTGTCAGGGTTCAGGGTCTCTCTTTCCTTTTTTGCCCTGGTGGCTAGGGCTGACATCTTTACACCCTACTCCACCTTCCAGCCCCCTTCCCGCCTTCTTTACCCCGTCTTCTGTAGCATGTCATGTGTTCGCCTTTTCTTGGGTCTCTGCTTCTCCCCTGAATTTTGTTGGGGAAGGGGTCACAGTGTTTTTCTCATTTTCCTTCAAACCAGAGTGGGTAGAAGTGTCACTTTCCCCTCACTCAGGAAATTAAGGAAGGACGGTGTCTTCAGTTGAATTGTGTAATTTATTGCCATGGGGAGAAGTTGAGAGGAAGATACTCATGCCTGAAAAATGGGATCTCCTCACAGGCCTGAGAACCAGAGTTTAGGGGACCTTTGACCTGTTGGAAAAAGAACAAGCATATGTATTCTTTTTGGGAAGGGAATTTGTTTTGTCACCGTTTCGATGGGAGGAGGAAATAAATGAAATGGAATAATAGGGCAGAAGGCTAATGGGCCACAGCCTTACAGGTAGACAGTGTTCTGCTTCTTGGGTGGTAGATGATGTTTCTATTACAATAAAAGTAAAGTGTCAGCTCTTAAAACTTGGGGCTCTTACCTTCAGATGCTTGCAGACAGGCAGTCCCCGGAAGAGGTGCTGCTGGAAACAGGATTTGGAAACTTTCTTTGGGTTTCCTGTCAGAATGTGTGGGAGTGGACATGCCCTGTGGGTAGTTTTTCTTTTCTTTTGATAAATTGATTCCTGTGATACTTTGACATAGTAAGTGCTGATTTAAGCCCCTAGACTAATGTCTTTATTATGCTTTCCTACAACACTTTATGTCTTGAAATTATATTTATATTGTTTGGTATTCTTTTTTTAGTGTGGTGTTTCAATGAATCTTTTTTTTTTTTTTTTTTTGAGACAGAGTCTCAAGCTGTTGCCCTGGGTAGAGTGCCATTGCATCACAGCTCACAGCAACCTCAAACTCTTGGGCTCAAGCGGTTCTCTTGCCTCAGCCTCCCAAGTAGCTTGGACTACAGGAGACTGCCACAATGCCTGGCTATTTTTCTGTTGTAGTTGTCATTGTTGTTTAGCTGGCCTGCGCGGGTTTGAACCCACCAGCCTTGGTGTATGTGGCCAGCACTGTAACCACTGCCATTTCAATGAATCTTAATGTTGTTTCCTTGGTATTTTTAATTGTGTTTTATTTCAGATACAAGTAGGTATAAGTTTTTGAGGACTATACATATTCAGTATTTGTTGAATGAATTGAATGAGTACAAGGATATGTCTAGGTATTGTACATCTCCTATTTTTTTGAGAGGTACTTTATGTAGGATACTGCATTTCACTTCCAACATATAAACAATAATTTATAGGCTTTTTTAGGTCACTGACCCCTTTGAAAATATGATGAAATATATGAACTCTCTCTTTAGAAAAAAGTCAATAGATATTTATTGCACAAAATTTTACATTCAGTTTTAGGGACCTTCTGAAACCAACCACAAATACTTACAGGTGAACTGGAATCCTTCAGTGTTACTCAGTTTTGTATTAAAACTATTCAAAAGTCTTTGTTCATTCTTTGCATGGGCTCAGGAATGACAGTATCTACACTTAGGGACCAACTTTGGATCTTTGGGAATAAGATTTTTCTAGTCACTTTTGACAGCTTAAAATCATCAGAATTGACTTATGGTTATTATTGTACAAAATACTTTTTAGCAATATGATCAGCACTCAAAAATGTTCACAAATCAAACTATTCATTTTTTCCTTTTCAAGCTTATATGCATGGTTTTTCATATAATTTTCTTATCAACATTAATTATTAATTCAAAGTAAGTACTTTTTGAATGCCTGGTATGGGAATAAGACAAAGTCTTTGCTGTCGTGGAGCTTGTATTCTAATCAGGAGATGCACGCCATAACCAGATATAGAATATGTCAGGTGATTAGAGCTATCCAGAAGAGTGAAGTAGGGTAAGGGGATAGAAACAGTGACAGGATAGTTAGGAGCAGAAACCTACAGGAAACCAGGGATGTGTAGAAACCTTAGAAAAGAAGGTTACAGGCAGAGAGGACAACAAATACCAAGACACCTAAATGAACTTGGCCTTTTGATAACAGCTAGGAGGCCAGTGTGTGAGAAAGTGAGAGGACTTGAGGTGAGAGAATTAGCTGGGGCCACTGTAAGGCTTGTAGGCAATGGTAAGAACTTTGGATTTTACTTTGGATGAGATGAGAAACCCTTGGATGTTTTGAGTAGAGGAGACCTATTTTGAGTTAAGTTTGTAAACCTTATTGTGGCTGCTGTGTGGAAACCAAGATAGGGGACGTGGGGTGAAGAGGTAAGAGTGGAAGCAGGAAGACCAATTATGAGGATAATAATCTTTGTTTCTAACCTTTTTCAGTGATTGCAAAATAGTCTGGTTTTTTTTTTGCTATTGGGGATATAGGTAATTTCTTTTTCTCCTCTATTTTTTTCCCTCTAATTCTGTAACAGATTACCCTTCTTTCTTAAAATAATAAAGTGAGCATATGCATATGCAACATTTTCTTTCTTTTGCAATATTTCCTGAGGATTCATTTCTAGAAGGACTGCCCAATTCAAAACCTATAAACACACTTCTGGTGTATATCTGAATTGCCTTCAAAGAATAGGTTATACTAGTTTTGACAGCTACAGTTACTGAGCATGAATTTTCACTGGCTCTTATTATTTAGCACTTAAAAAATAATTTCAGTCATAAAAAATATTTTAGATTGTTAGGTTGAATTTTTCAGTGGCTTACATTTAGAATTTATATGTTAGTTCACCTCTCTTTTCAACATTTAACAGGAGGGTGCTAATTATTGGATATAATTAGCTGTTTGGATATAGAGATGAATTAGGCAGGGTCTCTGTCCTCAGGTAGTTTTATACTCTGTAGTAATACATGATAGTTAAAAAACTCCAGATTTTGCTAGTGTTTACTGTTATCTATGAACTTTGTTAGTGTATGTATGGTTGATGATCTTTTTTTATATAAAATAGATATTTCAGGTATGCAGCCAGTTTTTCACATGGGTAATTAATTTTATTTTTTACAAAGGAATTTTTAATGATATCTGTAATTTACTTAATTTCTGTTTTGTATAGTTTTAAAAACTTACAGCTGAGAGCCCCATGTTTTGTTCTTTGCAATAAATTACACAACAGGTACTTAGTTGAAGACTCTCATAGTTGAATTTTTAAGTTGTTTGCATTTATAGTTTTTCAGAAAACAGAGACTATTGTTTTTGTTAAATAAGGTCAGCATTGCATCTTTGAAATTTTATTTAGTTTATAAGGGAGGATGATAGCAGTCTGTATTGATAGAAAATTATACCATTGTGAGGACTTTGTTCAGCATTTCTGGTTCTGAACCGTCCATGGCTTGATTTGGCATAAGCAGAGAACAGGAGCTTCAACATCTATAAAAGGGAACAGGTTGCACTTGCCGAGTTAACTGAAAGCACCTTAATCTCTGTCTGATATATTCTAAGGACACAGTAAATGTTTGTTGAACCCCAGATAACTTTTAAGCTCCCAGGTCTAAAAATCTCTTATTTTACATATTCAATAGGAATAACTCTATAAGGTGTTTCTATTTTAATACTGTGGTGCACTTAAAATTGTGAATATAAACTTACTTTCCCCCTGATGTTTCCTTTCAAATTAAATGAATCGACTATAACGATTGTAGGTAATCAGTTGTAAAAGTGTTAATGGTGTATCTTTAAGTATTTTTTGCCCACTTAGATACCATATATTCTGCATTATCTAATGCCATAATTACATCTTATGAAAAAGTTTAGCATTAAACAGAAATATATAGGCTTTTGTATGTTACTGAGAGGTGAAAGAGATAAAGTATCATTTTTTTCTTCTTTTTTTCCCATTTTGTTCTGTGTATGAAATTTGGAGATTACAAACTGTACTTTTAATGTGCTTTTCAGTCTTTCATATACAAAGATAATGGCCCATTTAGATATTGAATTTTTTATAATAATAGTTACAAGTTTGCACTGAATGATTCACACTCTACCAGTCCTCTTGACACAGTCTCATTTTGAGGTGACTGGTTGACAGGGCAGTTTATTTCAATATTAAATGATCCAGATGAGTATTGAACCTTATAAGCTTAGCTTTGCTCATTATCATGATGTTCTGATCAACAAAGCAGTTCAGCAGAGAACTGTGCCATGCTCTCATTTCCGCTTGAAAATAGGCCATTTAGAGATAGAAAGTACAAACATGCTCACGCACACACACACACCCCCCCAATAAAAAAAGGAAATTGTGTGTGATTATTAAGGTAGAGTTTAAACAGGAAATAGCGTGCTTTTTATAAGTGGTCTAAAAATAATTATTTTAATGTAGTATTTAGAAGAGTGTGATATACACAAGGAAGATTAATGTGTTTTGTGAAATAAACTTAAGTTGTTAGACAAATTAATGGTTTTTTAAAAGTACTAATGACTTATTTAAGCTTTATAAATCTGAAAAATTCTTTATGAATCATTCCAGTTTTCCCTTTGTTTCCTATCTCTGGCCTATTTCATATTGGCAGAGAGTGAGTCAAAGTGTGGAGTATCAAAGTTAACCAAATTTAAAATTAAATATATAATCCTATGATTGATCTCAGAATATCGTTAAGCCAAATTTCATAATAGGAATTTACTGAACTACAAACAACTGATAAGAGATACTTAGATTTTTTTTTTTTTTATTTTTTGAGACAGAGCCTCAAGCTTTCCCCCTGGGTAGAGTGCGGTGGCATAGCTCACAGCAACCTCCCAACTCCTGGGCTCAAGCGAGTCTCCTGCCTCCACCGCCCAAGTTGCTGGGACCACAGGCACCCGCCACAACGCCTGGCTATTTTTTTTTTCGGTTGCAGCCATCATTGTTTTATGGAGGGCCCGGGCTGATTTCGAACCAGCCACCTTAGGTGTATGTGGCTGGCACCTTAGCCACTTGAGCCACAGGCGCCGAGCCAAGATACTTAGATTAATTAAAACTTGAAATACCCTACATTGAACTCATAAGTATATGCACCGATTACATGTTATTCATGGTTTTTTGTAATTTTGTGCTGTATCCACTTATTTTGAATATGTAAAATAACTTTGCTCATAATAGACTGGTTTAGCTATCAGAGAAAAAAACTTATAAAGAGGTTCTAAGAGGTGGGTGCAACTATTTGGACAAATTCCAAATGCAGTTTATATGATTTTTAAGTTAATAATAGGAAATCTCTTATTGCAGACTGTACATTTTAGTTTATTCAGAGAGTAAATTTATTTAATGTATTTTCACTGCTATTTTAAAGTTCATTTATTCTATTCTAGACAAGTTGGCAATACTATAAAACATTAAGCACCCACTAAGTTAATTATCATAGTAGTTGAAATTTAACACTAATCTTTGCATTTTGTATAGTTTACAATCTATCCCCAATCTGTTGATGCCTTTGAAACTGTCTTTTAAATTCTGGGGTTATGAAAATGTTGCATAATTTCAATTAATTTCAGATTCAGTCATGGAGCAGATGTTACAGTGACCCAAAATTAGGTTCTTTGATGGACACTGAGATGTGAAGGTGTAGTTTCTGCTTTAAGTAATTTATAGTCTAGTAATTTATGTTTGCTAGAGCCTTATATGTGTTTTATAAATACAGCAGAATCTCCGTAAGTTGACTACCCAGGGGACTGAAACTGGTCAACATATGGAGGTGATCAACATAAGAAACTAGGCCTGGTGCATGTCTGGTCTATGAAAATTAGGTCAATTTAAAGAGGTGGTCAATAGAGGGAAGCAGTCAATTGTAGAGGTTCTTTTTTTTTGAGACAGAGCCTCAAGCTGAGCCCCTGGGTAGAGTGCCATGGCTTCACTGCTCACAGCAACCTCCAACTCCTGGGCTCAAGCGAGTCT